ACTCTAATGGCTATTTATGGGAGCTTCGAAAGAAGAGACTATAGCAGTAAATAAGAGGAGTACACTCTTTTGTTCTTTGGAAATTTATAGTTCAGTAAAGAAAACCAAGAATATTTACTGAGCACTTACTGTGTGCCAGGAACTGTGCTGAATTCTTCACGTGGATATCTCATTTCTTCCTCTCAAAAACTCTATGGAAAAGGTACTATTATGATTTCCGCTTATAGACGAGTGAGTGAAGGCACAGATGACTTGTGAAAGGCCATAGGACTGGTAACTGGAAGAACCAGGTAGATGAAACAAATGAGGTGACATGTATGAAAGGGCAGAACAGCTTTGTAGGGGAGCTTATCGCAAAGGCACGGCTCCAGGCCTCGGAGAACTCCCTGGACAGGGCAGAAAACACTTAAACTGCCCCGTAGGGTGAGTAGAGCTTAAACCAGGTGAAGAGGTAGCGGGAATCGAGAACTGCAAATGCCACAGAGCGAGAGGAAGTGCAGCTCCAGGTGCAAGTAAGGGCCAGGTTAGGGAAGCACTGCTAAGGATTCTGGTCTTTGTAGAGGAGGAAGTTGAAGTCATTAATGGTTTTAAACAAGAGAGAGGCATGGTTAGAATTGCATTTTTTAAAAAGATCACTCAAGCTGTGAATAAAAGTGAGTAAACAGTTCCCTTGGTGGTTTGGACTGATGAATTGGACAAGAGTGGTGCCATTAGGAAGGAGAAAAGTGGGCACATATAAGAAATACTTAGGAGTTGCACTCAGTAACTGGATACAGAGTGGGAGAGGGAGAAAGCTGAGTCATTCTACACCCCCTTCTCTCCCTCACCCGCAGGTCCAATCATTTAATAAGTCCATTTAATTTCATGACTATCTATCCCATCTGTCCCCTCTTTTCCATCCCTTTTGCCACTGGCCTAATTCAGCTTTCATTCTCTCTCCCTAATGATAAAGAAAACATCTTTCATTTTTTAAATCTAACTTTTTTTCAGTTACAGTTTCTATTCAACACTGTTTTGTATTAGTTTTGTTGGTGGCGAGAACGGCACTGGATGTTAGACAGGTGGAGTCAGACCGGACCTCGATTCAACAAACTCAGTACTTGAGTTCTGGCTAAGAAAAAAAATTCAGAGCCAAGACTCAAATACAAGCAAAAGTTTATTTAGAAAGTCACAGAGGTAGAAGAAGTGAGCCGTAGAAGAAATGGGTTCAGGATACAAGTTATAGAGACAAAAGAAAGGCCCTTGGAGCTTAGGAGAAAGAGAGAAAGGGGGAAGAAGAGGGGGATAGGAGAGGAGCAGGCATGCTCTGGAGAGGGAGAGCCCAGCTGGGTCCTCCATATTAAGAGCTTCTAAGGGTGAAGATTTTAGGAGAGGTCCCAGGGGAGGATCTCAATAGAATAGTCATCAGCTTTCCATGTGTGTCCTTTCAGGGTCATGGTTTCCACTGATTGGTCAGCTCTAGGACAGGGGGTCATTAGTCCATGTAGCTAGTCCTGAGGCCAGAGTTAGTGTCTACTGTCACTTGCCTGGTTTTGCTGCTTTTCTAGGCTTGAATCAGAAACACGACAGAGGCCTAGATGTTATCTCTAGGGGTTAATGCTTAAGTGAGTGGTCATGCAAGGGCCCACATGACAGTTGTATGAGACCACTCTTTAGCCCCTTGTTCCTCCTCCAAGGGCTCTACCACGTGACTAGCACATATCAGGGGAGGAAAGGTCAGGGGAGGGTCTAAACTGCATGACCAGCTAAACTAAAGGTCAGGAGGTCTAAACTGCATGACCAGCTATATGCTATGGGAGGAAAGGTTACCCTGGGAGTGAGGTCCTTGTTTTCCCAGTTTTGCACGTTGCTAGGCACCTGGGACTTTCTGCCCTGGTGATCTTCTGTACCTGGCCCTTTGTCCTTGTTCTGCTCACATCTGTCTAACTGCCTACCACAGATTCAGGTGTACAGCTTAGTGGTTAGACAATTGTACAGTTTACAAAGTGCTCCCCCTGCCCGATATTTCCAGTACTCACCTGGCACCATACATTGTTATTACAATATTATTATGTTCCCTATGCTGTACTTTACATCCCTGTGACTATTTCATAACTACTAATTTGTGTGTCTTCTTTGTATTAATTTTTTTAAATTTATTGAGTTTAGAGAGTGAGAAAGGGAGAGAGCGAGGGAAACATTGATTTGTTGTTCCACTTATGCATTCATTGGTTGATTCTCATATGTGCCCTGAACGGGGATCTGACCCGAAACGTTGGTGTATCAGGAAGATGCTCTAACCAACTGAACTACCCAGCCAGGACCCAATTTGTGCTTCTTAATCCCTTCACCTTTTTCATCCAGCCCTCCAAACCCCACCCCTCTGGCAACCAAGAGTCTGTTCTCTGCATCTACGAGTCTGTTTCTATTTTGTTCATTAATTTTGTTCTTTGGATTCCACGTATAAATGAAATCATGTGATATTTGTCTTTCTCTAACTAACTTATTTTACTTAGAATAATACTCCCTGTGTCTATCCATGCTGTTGCAGATGGTAAGATTTCATTCCTTTTTTTAAAAAAAAAGATTTATTTATTTATTTATTTTTAGACAGAGGGGAAGTGAGGGAGAAAGAGAGGGAGAGAAACATCAATGTGTGGTTGCCTCTTGCGTGCCCCCTACTGGGGACCTGGACCACAACCCAGGCATGTGCCCTGACTGGGAATCGAATCAGTGACCCTTTGGTTCGCAGGCCAGCACTCAGTCCACTGAGCCACACCAGCCAGGGCTGATTTCGTTCTTTTTTAATGGCCAAATAATATTCCATTGTATATGTGTACCACAACTTTTTTTTTCCAGGTTCATACTTTATTGTACAAATTGAATATCACATGATGAGTTGACATTAGCTTCTCCAGGCATGGGAAATTAACATATGATGTACAGGTTAAAATCTTTTATGTTGCTTTCAAAGCTGGATTTTTTTAGACCTTAACTTGAAGTATAAAACCAACAAAGTAATGTCTCCATATATGGACAGTATACAGTCATTCTACCCGTGAGAGTGATATAGTTGAAATGTTTTTTGATACCAGTAAAATGGAATTGGGCATCAGTTTCTGGACCTGCTATGATTTCAATCTTGCAAAAGTACACATTCTGCAGGCTGTGTCGTTCAACATATACAGCTGCTCCTCAGCCTGCCATGCACCACAACTTTTTTATCCACTCAACTATTGATAGGCACTTGGGTTACCTCCTTACCTAAGCAAGAATCTTTCTGCCCTTAGGTTTTTTGCTTTCTAGACCATCCTCCATAATATCTGAGCATATGATCTGTGTAAAATGCAGACCTAGTCACAGTCAATCCAAGCCCTTGTGTCTTGTCATTGTGCTTATTACAGGATAAAGGCCAATCCCTTCCTAGTCCATTTCCAACATATTTTCTAGCTTCTCCTTCCCCTTCTCAGGCCAAGCTGCCTAAGAGGCATCACACTCACCGAGCCCCACAATGTCACCTGCATGTTGAAGTAAATGTTCCTTCATAGCCCTAAACCTTCGTAAATTGATTGCTTGTATATTTATTAAATATACCCATGACTCATTCCTGAGAGCTCACATGATCTTCCTGTTGTCAGGAATTTACCACCCCTTTCTATCTGGTAAATTTCTATTCACACATCAAGACCCAGCTCAGATATCAAGTCTCTGTAGGTTTTTTTAACACTCCTACTCCCAAGACAGGATTAAATGCTTCCTCATCTGTTTCTAAAGCACTTTACACAGTTCTGTCCTAGTGCTTATTTCATTGGACTATTATAGATATCTAAAGAGACACAGGCTAATGCAATCAAGTGGTCCTGACCTGAAAGGGTTTGTTGGGAGGTTTATATGGGCTAATATATTGTATGTATAGTTAATATTTCCTTTTCTTCATCTCTTTCCTAATAATAGTGTTAATAATCGGTATTACAATTTACAAAGTATAAACTTTAATTGTGTTCTGTACAATCTCTTGTTTTACATGAGAATAAACCTGTGAAATAGGGATGGTAGTATTATTTGTTTTAAAGTTGAAGAAAGAGAAGTATGGAAGGGGAAAATGTGATAATGCAAGATCGTTTGGTGGTATGCCACGACACAAAAGTGCTCCATCATTATTTTTTTAAGTGGAATCATGTTTTCCAGTTTTAAAACCTGTGATATTTTCTTTACAGCACACTGTGTCTTCTAAGTTGTAGCTAGTATTTTTTCAAATTGTGGGTAGGCAATCATTATTGCCTAATAAATTCAATGAAGTAGGAACAACTAACATGGGAGGGAAAAAGAATAGAAAAGTTCAGAGTACATGTAATAAGGATAAGCAAAGTTCTGTGATAGTTGGTTGTAATGTAAAATGTATTTCTCATCATGGGTCTTGGAAGAAAAGAAAGTAGGAAAGCCCCATTCTAGCACGATGCCAAGTTCTAAATGAATGTTTATTAAATGGAATTATAGGACTTTCGTTTTGTATTTATTTTTGTTTACCCGAGCTGTCGCCTTCATTCGTGGCTACTGGAAAGCAGAGATCATATCATCTTTATTTTTCTGATTCCTAGTAGAGTGTTTGTTATAAATTTGGTGCACTTAATAAATGGGTGTCAAATTAAAACCTGGATGAATGCATCAATGAATGAAGGCCGAATATAGCTCAGTAAATATGGTTCTTAATGACTGTTCTATCTCCTTCCAGATTTGTCTGTTCAACAGCGAGACCCAACACTAACTTGATAGTTTCTAAAAGCCCTGTATCGGTGTCTGGGGGAAACATGGAGGCCAAGAACTATCACTTGCCCTTAGTCAACATGGTGTCCTGAATGGCTTCAGAAAAGGGTTTGAGGGAGGGAGAAGGAACTAAAACTGTTGACCTTAGTCAAAATGGCCACCGTTGGCTTCTCGCTATTGAGAATGCGCATGCTTAGTTTCGTCCCCGTCGCTCCTCAGTGGGCCTGTTGCGCGTGCGTTGCAGCGCGGAGGCCCAGCGCTGGAGGAATAAATATCTCTGTGATTGGTTGGTGCAGGATTTCAAACTAGAGCTGGCGGCCCAGTGCTGCTCTGCCGTTGGAGGCGCGAGGGGCAGCGGAAGTTCTACCAGGTGCGGTTCGGTGGCCCTTAGTAAGGGGGCCTTGAATAAGTGGGCCCTGGGGGCTGCAGGAAGAGGCTCGGTTGGCGCTGTATTTGTGGTAGGAGGGAGAGCGTTGAAAGCGGCGAGCCGTGGCCACCGCGGGTGTCGGGGAGGAGGCGGCACCTACAGCCCCTACACTGGGACTTTGGCCGGTCGCGAGCCGGAGCTGCTTGAATGGGTGGTGTCAAGAGTGAGCGTTTCTTCCTTGGCGCCGGATTTTGTAGAAAGCCAAGGCGTCTTTTTGAGCTGGTTCTTCGAACAGGGCAGGGGCCACCCCCAAACAACTAGATAAGAGTTTTGGGGGGTAGCTCCCCGCAGCCTTTTAGGAAGAACTGGGATTTTTCGCAGGAAAAACCCTAGTTGAGAGGCCGCAGCAGGCTGAAAATGGAGTTCCTCTCCTATGTGGGCTGTGTGTGTCTAGGCAGGCTGGCCGTAGCAGTGACATCTTGCCCTTTCCATCCTAATTCTTATCTTTAGTAACAACGAGGCGTTACTTTTACACTTTCACGTACATTTGTCCTCTCAGGAATTCATTGGTAGGCGGTACGTGGGGTGGGTGGGAAGATAAGCTTTTTTTTTTTTAAGAATTCATCATTCTCTCTAATGAGAAGGCGCCCTTCCTATAGCTTAATCATTCAACCGTATTTATTAAGTGCAAAATGTTAAGTACAAGACAGTCTTATTTGGTTTTAAAGGAACTTGCAATTTATTTGGGGGTTATAGAACTTGAAAAGGTACTGCGGTGAATCTAGTAGGCCTGTACACTGTTAGGAGTACTGCACATTAGTACAGACCTTTTAGAAAATAATTTGGCAGTACTTCTCAAGAGCTATAAGAGGTTTTTACTCCCTGAAATAGTAATTCTAGCCTTGGATATAAAAGGAACACTGTCACCTGAAGAAAAATACTGTCCACAGTGATGTTCAGTTCATTCAATGAATATGTGTTAATTATTTGCAAAGTGTCAGGCACTGACCTGGGCACTATCAACAGAAGAGACAAAAATCTTTGCTTTCTTGGAACTTAAACTATTGGGGAGACAGACAATAAACAAAGTAAGTTAATATGTAAGTTTGTTAGATGGAGATAAGTGCTTTGGAGCAAAATTAAGCAGAGAAGTGTTGAGGGGTTGGGGAAGCCTGCAGTTTAAAATAGGGTGGCTAGGAAAGACCTCATTAGAAAATGGTCTTTAAAGGAGACGCGGGAGTGACTATGCAAGAGGTTCCAGGCAGATATAACTGAAAAACTGGAAAGTACCTAAATGACCAAAGAAGAGAATGATTAAACATGATTGTTCATCAACTTTCTGGAACTTAATGGAAACATGATAGGAAAAAAGGCAAAATTATATACAGTCTATGATTGCAATTCTCTGAAGTAAATGAGTACATAATGGGCAAAGATTAGGTAAGGACTTTCATATAGTAACTTAGGGTGGTGAGGTTTTAGTTTCACTATTAAAAATTAATTTTTTTGAATAAAGAAAATTAACAATGTGAGACAGTGGTTTATATTTGCAAAGTAAATGTAGATGAAGAAGAAATTTTTTAGAAAAGATTTTACTTATTTTTAGAGGGGAAGGGAGGGAGAGAGGAAGAGATACAGCAATGAGAGAGAAACCTCAATTGGCTGCCTCGCAGACCTGAGCTTCTGCCGATGGAAACCCAGGTGTGTGCTCTGACCCAGAGTCCGAACCAGCAGCGACCTTTTGCTCTTCAGGATGATGCCTTGCCAAATAAGCCACGCTGGTCAGGGCCGGAAGAGATCATTTTGGACTGAAATGGTTAGGAAATGCTTTAGAGAATTGGTAAGATGTATACTAGAAGTGGAAGAATAGAATACTTCGTAAAGGGAACTCACAGAAGAAAAAAAGGAGAACTTGGTATACTGAACTAGTAATAATTTTCTGAAAAAATAATTCAGCCTGTCCCTTTCTTTTAGTCTTCATTCATGTTGGATTGAGGACAGTCTATTTACTCTTTCTGCAATTGATTTGCTCATAAGAACATTTGTTTTCAAGATATTCCTTCTGCCTGTCAGTTGTATAGAGCCTTTTGATGTGGTGAAGCAAAAGCTGGACATTTGGGGGAGAGAATTGTTCTGAAATGCTTTCATATAAAAGAATCCTGTTTTCCTTGGCAGCAGAGAACCTATATTGTTGATTTCTTGGGGAGCTCCAGATTTAGAAATGTTTATGAGAATGTTTTTCATTAAAACTCTTCCTGAAAAATTCAGGCAGTCTTCCATTGCTGTCTTACAATATTTAACACCCATGGTGCATCTAAAAAACATGATGTATAGGTCTCTTAATAATGTTGTTTGTAGGAGGAGGAAGAAGAGGATAGAGACTTCCCCCAGCATACTCTGCAGTTAAGATGTGGTAGTCTGTTATTCTGAAGGACAGACATGTCTGTCTCTTGGCTGGGTGACTGAAATTAAATTGAGGACTCAGAGCAATCACATCAAGCTGAGACTCTTTCCTGGTGATGCAGAATTGTTCCCTTAGGGATACTCACTGGGAATCTGTAACATAGTGACTTCTCCACCTCTGGGGCTTCTCATCAATAACAGCTGAGATTTTCTGCACCTTTTTGTTTAAAGTCTTCCACAAACTGATTTCCTTGTTCCACACAGGGATCATTTCAGCTTTCCCAAACAGCAGTTGCCTCTGCAGTGAAAAGCAACAGCTGTTTTACAGCTGCAAAGCAAAGTGCTACAATATGACTTTGTTTCTGTTTCCTTTTACATCATTTTATCTCCTGGATTTGGAGCTAAATAATAAAGGGGGAGAAATAAAGAAGTATTCATGAGGGTGAAAATGTGACACAGCAGGAAAATTATAACCATTTTAAATTGACATTGAATAGCATGAGTAATTTTTAACTTTTTGAGTTACAATTTGGCTGCAATATCACAGAACTGATGAGGAAAGATATTTTTGTCCTCTATAACATTTTCCAATTCCTGAGAGTCCCTTCTGTAGAACATTAGTAAAATTGCATGATAGTCCCCTAGCATCTAAAGAAAAGAGGATTATATTTTACTAGTGCCGTTTTTTGATTAACCTAAGTAAACCTATGGAGAAGAAAGACTTAACTTTTCACAAGCCTTATGTAGAACAACTTTTTTTTTAAAGTATATTATTGATTATGCTGTTTCAGTTATCCTATTCTTTTTTCTCTTCTTTATCCCCCTCTGCCTGGTACCCACATTCTCTCCAGCATTCCCACTCCCCACCAACTTAGTTCATGTCCATGGGTCGTACATATAAGTTCTTTGGCTTCTCCATTTCCTGTACTATTCTTAATCTCCCCCTGTCTATTTTGTACCTACCAATTATGAGTCTTATTCCCTGTACCTTTTCCCCCTTTCCCCCTTCCCCCTCTCTGCTGACATCTCTCCATCTGCTGTGATTCTGTTCCTGTTCTAGTTGTTTGCTTAGTTTGTTTTTGTTTTTTTAGGTTCATTTGTTCATAATTGTGAGTTGTCATTTTACTGTTCATAGTTTTGATCTTCTTTTTCTTAGGTAAGTCTTGTTAACATTTCATATAATAAGGGCTTGGTGATGATGAACTCCTTTAACTTGACCTTATCTGGGAAGCACTTTATCTACCCTTCCAGTCTAAATAATAGCTTTGCTGGAAAGAGTAACCTTGGATGTAGGTCCTTGCTTTTAGTAACTTTGAATACTTTTTTCCAGCCCCTCTTGCCTGCAGGGTTTCTTTTGAGAAATCAGCTGACAGTCTTATGGGAACTCCTTTGTAGGTAACTCTCTCCTTTTCTCTTGCTGTTTTTAAGATTCTCTCATCTTTAATCTTTGGCAATTTAATTATGATGTGCATTGGTGTATTCCTCTTTAGGTCCAGTTTGTTTGGGAGTCTCTGAGTTCCCTGGACTTGTATGTCTATTTCCTTCGCCAGATTGGAGAAGTTCTCTTTCATTATTTTTTCAAATACATTTTCAATTTGTTGGTCTTCCTCTTCTCCAGACACCCCTATGATTGAGATGTTGGAGCATTTAAAGTTGTCCCAGAAGTTCCTAAGTCTTTCCTCATTTTTTTGAATTGTTTCTTCTGTTTTGGTTGAATGTTTCTCTCTCTCTCTCTCTCTCTTTTTGTTCCAAATCGTTGATTTCAGTCCTGGTTTCCTTCCCTTCACTGTTGGTTCCTTGTATATTCTTTATTTCACTTTGTATAGATAGCCTTCACTTCTAACTCTATTTTGCATCTGTACTCAAAACATCCTAATTACCAGTGTTCTGAACTCTGCTTCTGATAGTTTGGTTATCTCCTTGTGGCTTAGTTCTTTTTCTGGAGTTTCGATCTGTTCTTTCATTTGGGCCATATTCCTTTGTTCCTGCACACCTGTAACATTGTAAGGGGCAGACCCTTAGGTATTCACCAGGGCTAGGCCACCCCACGTTGCTGTGTCGTGGCACTGTATGGGGAGAGGGGTCAGAGAGGGAACAATGCCGCTTGCTCGGGTCTCACCCTGCTTTCAAGAGACGAGCAGTTCTCTGACCACCACAACCCCCATAGGTTTTTACAGCAAGGGGTTCCAAGGCTTAATTTTTCCGATGCTGAAACCCTGGGTTGCATGGTTTGTCTTGCTCCCCAGTTGTTCTTTCCCCATTTATCTGCATGCAAACGTGGGATCACCGGTGTCATCTCTGCCCTGGCTGCCTGTCTCTGCCCCTTCTACCAGTATGGATGAATGTTTCTTTACTCCTTGGTTGTCAGACTCTTACAGTTTGATTTTCTGGCAGCTCTGGGTTTTGTGGGGGTTTTTTGTTTTTAAATTGGTTGTTTCCTTCTTTTGGTTGTGTGAGGAGGCGAACCGTATATACCTATGTCTCCATCTCGGACAGAACTCTAGAACAGCTTGTTGGAGAGCCTGGACCTGGTCGAATTTTGCTATCTTCCCCATCTTGGTCTGGGTTCTAGCTATGATTTGTTAATCATTATTCTATAGTCTAAATAGCAAATGTCAGACCAAATCAAAAACAAAAATTGCATGCCTAATATAATAATATCCTATAGTTTTATGGTAAGGTTCAATTTGTACATTATAAAACTTTTAACTACATTAATTGATAATATTCTGTGAGATAAATAGAACACATATTATTGTTCCTATTTATATTAAGATGAATCTCAGAAATTAAGTGACTTACCCAAAGTTATACTACTGGTAGATAGAAAAACTAAAACTTTATGCCAGTGCTTCTGTTCCCACCTCCCCACCCCACTTCTTTTGATTAAAAAAAAAAAAATCTATATTACGCATTGATGTTCAGGTAGAAAGAAAGTTCTTTTTGACAGTTGAGCCATGAATGTGTGTGTATGTGTGTTTTCTGACTTCCTTTAATCAAATATTTATTTTTAAGTACTGAGTGTTTGTGTTTATAGTACCCTAGTGCCAAATGTAAGGTTTCTCTTCTCGAATTTAAAGTTTACTTGGGACATAGAGTAGAAACATGGTAAAGTTAGAGTGCAAGGTGCATGTGTCTATGTGCCAACTGAGCACAGGGGTGGAGCAAAGATCGGTTGAAGTAGGTGATGATGACCTGCAAATGATGAGGGGATGGTAATAATACACGAGAGGAAGAATTCACAAGATTATACTTGTAAGAAAGGAACTAACTTAAGGTGACAAGGAATCGAAATTGGGAGTCAGTGTAGGTCAGTGGATAAGGGTAATTGATATTAAAGTCATATGTCACTTCATGACAGGGATATGTTCTGAGAAATGTGTTATGTGATTTTGTCATCTGCAAACATCATAGAGTGCATTTACACACATCTAGATGGTATAGCCTACTTACTACACACCTAGGCTATATGGTGTAGCCCGTTGCTCTTGGGCTACAAGCTTGTTGTACAGCATGGTACTGTACTGAATACTCTAGGCAATTGTAACGCAATGGTAAGTATTTGTATATCTAAACATAGGAAAGGTACAGTAAAAATATGTCACCTACCATGAATGGAGCTTGAAGGCCTGGAAGTTTCTCTGGGTGAGTCATTGAGTGGTGAGTGAATGTGAAGGCCTAGGACATTACCATACACTACTGTAAACTATAAACACTGTATACTTAGGCTACACTAAATTTATAGATATTTTTATTCAATAATAACCTTAGCTTACTGTAACTTTTTTACTGTATGTATATGAGGCGAAAGGATAGAGTAATACCTCAGAATCAAGTCCAGCATGTGGGGCATCCCGAGCAAATTGAGAGCTCTAGGACTGGCCTTAGGAGAGAGGCTAGGGTGGATAGGATAAATGGGTGAGTTGTCTGTAGAGATGTAATAATTAAAGTTGGATAGTTTGATATGATATTTGAGAGGCTGAAGTATTGAACTGTAGGAATGTCTGGTGTTGAGAGAGAAGAATAAAAATCCATAATCAAAATATTTGTAACACTGTAAACCTCTAAATCTGGAGACTATGATGGTCTGACAGAGGTAGGGTTTCCTCTTTGCAGTTTTACAAATACAGCACTGGAAGTCCAGTTAAACACTGTTTTGTAGGCACTAGGCATCATATTAGGAGAAAAATGTAGATCGAGGTAGTTGTATGAGATAATAGTTACTACAATGAGGAGATGTCCCTGGATAAGGTTCTCTGTGTCTTTAGACATTTTAGGAATCAGGTTGGGTTTTCAAGGGAGTACCTCTCCCCAGCCCTCACTCTAGGGAGTAGTATGCACAAAAACATAGGAAAGAACAGTAATGGACTAGAGGAACTTGAGAAAATGTGAAGATTTCTTTTAAAGGGGCAAAGGATCAGGTTATTTATTGTCATTTAAGACATAAAAAGTTTCTGAAAAAATTGTTTATTTTTCATTATATTTTATTATTTATACTATTGAAAAAAATTTTTAAACAACCAGTTTTTAGTATCCTAGTTGCACTGTGAAATTTGACTTTTTTGCATTCTTGGACAGGTAGAAGTTTTCTTCCTAGGTACTGAGCTTACTGTTTTAATAGTCTCAGAATATACAGATGAATGCTGAGATGATAGAAACCAATATCCCATATTAAAAGTGAGTGTCTTCCATTTTTACTGGGAGCCAAAGGAAATAATTTGAATAGGCTACTGAATTCCCTGCTCCCTCTTATGTTCTGAAGCATTTGAGTATATTTGCCTCTTTTGTCATATTGTTGAATCCATGGACTTCTCCATGACTTCCAGATCTCTTCCTGCCAGTTTTAATGCTATTATTTTAGTTTTGTTCTTAGTTTAGAGAAAGATTTTTGTAATAAATTTGTTGGTCTGGTTGCTTAGCAGCTTGCTGTGATTATGTAGCTTGGAACAGATACATTGCCGTTTGAACATCTTGGTTTCCCGCCCTGCTTCAGGTATATATTGCATCCAAGCTTGGAATTGAAAGCTTTTTTCGCTATTAGAGCAATCATCATACAAGTAAAATGAATAATTCTCTAGGATTTAATAGAAAATATTTTTATATGTTCTTTTGTCCTTTGCAGGGTTTTTTCCTTTCCTTCCCTCATAGCATATGGTACAATCTTATAAACATTGTAAAATCACTAAACCTTCATAAAAGAGTTCTTCGAATTTTATTTAGAGCATAAAATAAGGACCTTGACTAGAATGTTGAAGGGGTGATTAGGCGAAACATAAGAAGAATCCTTTAATGGTATTTCTGAGGACTCTGAGTTTTTAAATGAAATTCGATTTTTTATTTCATTTTCTTGATAGTTTTCATAATATCCAGTTGATATCTTTCTTTCTTGAGTGTTAAATGAAGATCTTATTTTCTCACAGTGTTCTCAGTTAAAGTCTATTCGGAGCAGAACCGCTAGTAAGGACACCATTTTTAATGTAATATCAGCAGGTCTTTGGGGGGAAATATGAAGCCTGAAATTCACTATACAGAATACAATAGCAAATGATTTTTCCTTTGCCCTTGTAACTGTGAAGGTGGTGTATTGTCTTCTTGATGCCAGAATGTGGTACAACATAAGCCTTTGCCTATACTTAGTATAAATTTATTAGACATAGTCCCTGCACACAGTCCAGCAGAGAGCCCTGCATTACAGAAATAATTCTTGTGCTGCTGAGCTGGCGATTTCCCCACTTAATCACTTGTGTGATGTCATCTGTGCTGTTGGTAGGAAATGTGCTGACCATGTCCTGCATTTTAAAAGGCAGATGCAACAGGGGTACTAGCTAAAAAGAAATTAAAAATAAACTGTAAGGTCTTCAAAGTCCAGAAGGATTAAAGTGGCAGAAGTGTTATTAATCAACAAGCTTGACTAAGAACCACATTTTGTATTTGGTCACCAAGTAATCAACTGACATTAGGAAAGCTTGTCCCTAATTGCTTTCCTCTCAGCTCCATAGTGATTGCAGAGTGCTGGAAAAGCAGTAGGCAGGAAGGGGGTATTATATTTTGAGGTCTGAAATGCTTTTCTAATTTTCAAGTAAGTGTTAAACTTTCCAACTTTGTTTTTATAATAAGGATTACACGAAACATCAGTTGTTGGCTTGTGATTCTTACAATGGTAGCTACAAATGGAAGAACCAGGTGTTAGTCACTGGTGACTGTATTGGATTGCTACTGAATCTTTTGTCTGGGGGAGAACGCACGCCCCCTAATGTATATTTGATTTCTTGGCAGGAAGATGGATACTACGATGCTGAATTTGCGGAATCTGTTTGAGCAGCTCATACGGCGTGTGGAGATTCTCAGTGAAGGAAATGAACTCCGTAAGTCATTCTGAGCTGGCCTGAGTGAAGAGAGAAACAGACTTCAGAAAACAAAGCTGAAGTGTGTTCCAACTTGAAAATTGTTTTTGATTTGGGTTACCTAAAAAGAAAGTCATAGTCTCTCAGTCCTTGTCAAAGCTTAATGTACACTCATTCTAAATGGTCGCTTTTTTCTGGAGTTCTTAGATGGGTTTTGTTCAGACTGTTTTTTTAAGGTTCTCATTTCCACTAAGTAGTTGCCAATTGCATTTTTGTACCATGAACTGGGCAAAATCTACTGAATTTTCAAGGATGTTGCTTTTTTTCTTTAGAGAGTAGTCGTCTACAATTTTTATCTTGGGCTTTTCCTTGTGTTCTATAGAACATTTTTAGTTGAAGAGGAGAAAAATGTTATAACTTTTTTTTGAAGGAGGGACTATTCATCTGCTTTTACCTACCTAATATATTTGATGCTTAGTAATAAAGGATTGGGATGGGTTGGAGATATAGGGAGAAAAAGGAGGTGGTGATAAAACAGTCACCCGTGAAGGAGAAAAGTGAGAAAGGAGGGTGGGGCTGGTAGCACTGACTTAAGTGACTTACAGGAATTATTCTGTACCAGCTTCTCTTTGTGTTGCCATCCTCTCTGATATCAGATTTTTATTAATACCTAATTTAGTAAGTGTTGCTCTTAAGTCATCCTCATTGATATAAAAGCAATGTACAAACTGTCTTAAACTTAGAAAAAAATCCCTATAGTATTTAGTATGGTGTCTTGCTTATGCCATTCAATATTTCCTTTAATTTGATTGATGTTTTTAATAGCTCTTATCCACTTATAGGCCTTTCAAAACAGTATTCTATTTTCTCTCTCTAATAGCTGTTGCATGACCCTGTCATCTGGTACCAGCTCGGTAACCTGGATGGCATACTAATTAGGCTTCTCTTTGAAATCACCTCATCTCGGAAGATGGATTACTTCAGAGCCTAGTAGGGAAGAGTACTGAATAAGAGATCTTAAAATTCAGGTTCATTTAGCAAATATTTAGTGAGAATTTATCACAGCCTCTCCCACATGTTGAGCTGAGGGAAAGGGATGACTAAATGGCATCATGGAGAAACGTAGGGTTTGAGTTGAGTCTTAGATGTAGGGTAGGGTGCCCACAGACAGAGAAGAAAGAGGGCATTTAGGGTTGGGAACAGCCTGAGTGGAAAAAAGATGGTGTGGGATTTGAAGGGGAATAGGATAAAAGGGAGAGTGATGTTATCAGAGCTGTGCTTTTGGAAGCTTTCCTTGCAGAGGTGGAGGTTGTATTAAGGGGGAGGCTGGGAGACTGACTAGGATGTGGTTGCCATTGCTCAGGAAAGAGGCAATAGGAGTCCTTCCTGACTGGGATGGTGGTTGTGAAGATGAAAATGAGGGGAAATGGGTGGAAGAGACTGTGAAAATAAGATCTCTAGGAGGAAGCAGGTAGTAGGATGTAGGGGCCGATAGAGGAATCTAAGGTTTGAAGTCTCAGTAGCCAGTGCTGATTTTCATGGTTATTTCCGTGTGTATCTGTAAAATAGGAATGTAATATCTTTATCTTCTTTGTGGGAGTGCTGTGATGATTTGGGGATAACATGAGATACTAGTTGTGAAAGTACTTTGGAAATAATTATGCAAAAAAATATACAAGATACTTATTTTTACAGATACCCATATTTTATAAGCAAATTTATATCTTTCCATTGATTTCTGTTATAAAATAGGTATGTTTTGTCTCTTAAATCCCTACCTTGAAATGTTGGCTTTTTTTTCTCTTTTAACTACTTTATTGTCTGTGCTATTAAAGTTGTCCTAATTTTTCCCACTGCTCCCCTCTACCTAGCCCACTCCCCATTCCCACCGTCAATCCCCACACCACTGTCCATGTCCATGGATCATGCATATATGTCCTTTGCCTAACCCCTTCCCCTTCTTTCAACCAGTCCCCACCTCCCCTCTCCTTTTACAGCTGCCAGTCTGTTCCATGTTTCTATGCCTCTGATTCTATTTTGGTCATTAGTTTATTTCGTTCTTTAGATTATACCTGTAAGTGAGATCATATGGTATTTGTCTTTCATTGATTGGCTTATTTCACTTAGCATAATAGTTTCCAGTTCCATCCATAAAGTTGCATGAAGTAAGAATTCCTTCTTTTTTTATTGCTGCGTAGTATTCCATTGTGCAAATGTACCATGGCTTTTTTTATCCACTCGTCTACTGATGGGCACTTAAGCTGTTTCCAAATCTTGACTATTGTAAATAATGCTGCTATGAATATAGGAGTGCATATATTCTTTTGAATTAATGTTTGAAGATTCTTAGGATATATTTCCAGAAGTGGAATCACTGGGTCAAAAGACAGTTCCATTTTTAATTTTTTGAGGAAATACCATACTGTTTTCTAGCATGGTTGCACCAGTGTGCATCCCACCATTTTGGCAGGTGTGAGGTGATAGATCTCATTGTGTTTTTTTAAAGAAAAGTATTTCTATTTTAAAAAAGATTTTATTTATTTTTTAGAGAGAGGGGAAGGGAGGGAGAAAGGAGAGAAACATTGATTTGTGAGAGAAACATGAATTGGTTACCTCTTACACACCCCCAAATGGGGACCTGGGCCACAGCCCAGGCATGTGCCCTGACTGGGAATCGAACCAGTGACCTTTGGGTTCACAGGATAGTGCCCAACTCACTGAGCCATACCAGTCAGGGCTCATTGTGGTTTTAATTTGCATCTCTCTGATGGCTAGTGATGTTGAGCATTTTTTCATATGTCTATGGGCCCTCTGTATTTCCTCCTTGGAGAAGTATCTATTCAGGTCCTTTGCCCATTTTTTAATTGGATTGTTTGTCTTTCTGGTGTTGAGTCTTACGAGTTCTTTATATATTTTGGAGGGTTAAGCCCTTGTCTGATGTATCATTGGCAAAATACATTCTCCAGTACAGTGGGTTTCCTTTTCATTTTGATGATGGTATCTTTAGCTCTGCAGAAACTTTTTAATTTGATGTAGTCCATTTATTTATTTTTTTCCTTTGTTCCCCATGCCCTAGGAGATATATTGGCAAAAATATTGCTATGTAGAATATCTGAAATTTAACTGCCTATGTTTTCCTCTAGGATTTTTATGGTATTGCAACTTATATTTAAGTCTTTTATCCATTTTGAGTTCATTCTGGTGTAAGGTGTAAGTTTGTAGTCTAGTTTCATTTATCTACAAGTATTAGTCCAGTTCTCCCAGTATTGTTTATTGAAGAGACTGTCTTTACGCCATTGTAGTCTCTTGCCTCCTTTGTCAAGTATTAATTGACCATAAAGGCGTGGGTTTTTTTCTGGGCTGTCTGTTCTGTTCCATTGATCTGTGTGTGTGTTCTTATGCCGGTACCAGACTGTTTGGATTACAGTGGTCTTATAGTATAGTTTGGTATCTGGCCTTATAGTACAGTTCGATATCAGATATTGTGAACCTTCCAATTTTGCTCTTCTTTCTCAAGATTGCTGAGGCTATTTGGAGTCTTTTTTGGTTCCATATAAATTTTTGGAATATTTGTTCTAGGTCTGTGGAATATGCCATTGGTATTTTAATAGGAATTGCATTGAATCTCTAGATTTCTTTGGGTTGTATTGAAATTTTAATGATGTTAATTCTTCCAATTCATGAACAAGGTGTATGCTTCCATTTATTTGTATCTTCCTCAGTTTCCTTCTTCAGTGTCCTATAGTTTTCCGAGTTCACGTCTTTTACCTCTTTGGTTGAATTTATTCCTAGGTATTTTTTGTTGTTGTAATAGCAAATGGGATTGTTTTCTTAGTTTCTCTCTCTGATAGTTCATTTCTGATGGATAAAAATGCCATCAACTTCTCAGTATTGATTTTGTATCATGCTACTTTGTTGAATTCATGTACTAGGTCTAGCAGTTTTTTGGTGGAGCCTATAGGGTTTTCTATGTACAATATCATGTCATCTGTGATTAATGACAGTTTTACTTCCTCCTTTCCAATTTGGATGCCTTTTATTTCTTCTTGTCTGATTGCTGTGGCTAGTATTTCTAGTACTATGTTGAATAAGAGTGGTGAAAGCAGACATCCCTGTCATGTTCCTGATATTAAGGGAAACAATTTTAGTTTTTTGCCCATTGAGTATGATGTTGGCTGTAGGTTTTCTGTATATGGCCTTTATTATGATGAGGTACGATCCATCTATTCCTACTTTGCTGAAAGCTTTATCATAAATGTGTGCTGGATTTTATCAAATGCTTTTTCTACATCTATTGATATGATCATGTGATTTTTATCTTTCATTTTGTTTATATGCTGTATCACATTTATTAATTTGTAAATATTGTACCAACCTAACATCCCTGAATAAGTCCCACTTGATCATAATATATGGTCTTTTTACTGTATTGCTGGATTTGGTTTGCTAATATTTTGTTGAGGATTTTCACATCTATGTTCATTAGGGATATTGGCCTATAGTTTTCTTTCTTTGTTGTGCTTTATCTGGTTTTGGAGTTAGGATAATACTGGCCTCATAAAAAGAGCTTGGAAGTCTTCCATCTTCTTGAATTTTTTGGAATAGTTTGAGAAGGATAGGTGTTAGTTCTTTGAATGATTGGTAAAATTTTCCTGTGAAGCCATCTTGTTCAGGACTTTTCTTTGCTGGATTTTTTGATTACTGCTTCAATTTCATTAGTTGTTATTGGTCTAGTCACGTTTTCTGCTTATTCCTGATTCAGTTTTGGAAGATTGTATGTTTCTAGAAATTTTTCCATTTTTCCCACGTTTTCCAATTTCTTGGCATATCTAGTTAGTCATAGTATTTTCTTACAATCCTTTGTATTTTTGTGGTATTAGTTGTTACTGTCCCTCCTTCATTTCTGATTTTATTAATTTGGGTCCTATTTTTCTTGATGAATCTGGTTAAAGTTTAGTCATTTTTGAAGATTTTACTAAATTTTTTTTCCCAAAAACAACCCCACCCCACCCCCCCCCTTA